ATTCCAACACTAAGCATGATTCCTGGCACTGAGTATGCATCGTTCAAAATAGCAAAATAAATGAATTTCAAAGATTTGTAATATCTAATTTTTTTCTGAAATAATACTATTTGTTAAGTACTTTACTAACATCATTAATTTTCATAACAGCCCCACTGAGGTAGATGTTATTTATAGAGGAAAAACAGGCTTTGCCCCCAAAGTCAAATGGTTGCCAAACTTATCTACTAGTAAATGTTTTAAGAGCAAACAGGAAAATAGAAAAATATTCAACAACACTGAATTTTTCATTAAGTGAGTTAGGCATATGTGCACGTTACGTTTTTTAAATCCTCACCCGAGAATATTTTTTCCACTGATTTTCAGAAAGAGTGGGAGAGAGAGGGTAAGACAGAGAGAAATATCGATGTGAGAGAAACACATCGATTGGTTGTCTCCTGTAGGCACCCCGGCCAGGGCCAGGACAGGGAGGAGCCTGCAACCAAGGTAGGTGCCCTTGATCAGAATCGAACCAGTGACCCTTCGGTCTGCAGGCCGATGCTCTATCCACTGAGCCAAACCAACTAGGGCTATATTAATATATTAAAAGCTTCGTTTTGCAGATATTAAGATCTCTTTTACTAGCAAAACAAACACAAACAAAACAATAAAGTCTGATTAAAACTCAGTCTTCCAGCTGACTCCCACCACCTTGCTGTGACCCTCTGTCAGAAGTTGATGTGCCCTCCTCTGCCCCCTCAACAATGCACGTACAAAGAGACTCTTTTTCCTACGTTAATGGGACTGTTCTATACACACTGCTCCAGGTCCTGCCTCTTTATTCAGCGTCTGTCCAGGACACAACTTCTCAAGTTTAGAAATATGAAATATCTCACAGGAGGAGAGAACTCCATTCTATTTTTAGTCTACTTTTAGGATTCAAGGTTATCCACACACCTCTTAATCAGAACTTTACACATACTAATTACTTTCCCTTGAACCTTACCATTAAGTCAACACTTTTTAATGCCCCATTTTCATCAAATCCCTTCTAACTCTATATTCTATGATGTGCTCTTCATCACTGTAGAACTTAACATTTTGGCATCTTCAAAGCCCTTATACCACATCACTAAAACTGACTTCTTCCAGAAAATATGTTTATGAACATCTCATCTCACCACTTTTTTTCTCCTCTCTTCTGCCAGTTGTTTGTGGCTCTCAACAAAACCAATAGGCTACAACAAAAACCAATCCTTTCCTCTGCAGGAAGGGTAAACGAAGCTTGCTTCTGTCCTCCACTGCAGTGTAGCCTTCTGTGCTACAAACACTAAGTTCTCTAGCACTACAGTCTCTAGTTGTATAGTTATTCGGCACTTAACCAACCCAATGCTTTTTTTCTTTCAGATTTTAAATTATTCAAGCTCCAAACTCACTATTATCTGAAGCTCAGATTAAATATAGTCAAACGTAGGAATAATTGATTCATTTGATCTTTTTTAAAAAACATTTCATTGATATCAGAGAGGGAGACGGAGAGAGAGAGATAAATATCAATAATGAGAGAATCATTAATTGGCTGCCTCCTGCACGACCCACACAGGGGATCGAGCCCATAACTTAGGCATATGCCCAGACCGGAAATTGAACCTGTGACCTCCTGGTTCATAGGTTGATGCTCAACCACTTTGTCACGCTGACCGTGCAATTAATTTGATCTTAAGTTAAAGTACCTGCAGAGCTGGGATCTGAAGCTGTTGTCTTCTGATTATGATTATGGTATTGGGTAAACAAAAGAAGTTGTGGAAAAGCCTCTGCAGGGGAAATTCAAACATTGTCAGCCTATGGAGTCATCCTACTATTGATTCGTTCCTCATGCTCTAGTCTCTGTGCTGTTCTATCTTAGCCAGCAATGGCAGCCATGTTTCTCATGATTCCTGATAAACTAAGGATGTTCTCTCTAGGCCAGCGGTTCTCAACCTGTGGGTCGCTATCCCTTTGGCGGTCGAACGACCCTTTCACAGGGGTCGCCTAAGACCATCCTCCATATCAGATATTTACATGACGATTCATAACAGTAGCAACATTACAGTTATGAAGTATCAACGAAAATAATTTTATGGTTGGGTCACAACATGAGGAACTGTATTTAAAGGGCCAGAAGGTTGAGAACCACTGCTCTAAACACTTTTATAATGTTCACATTTAAAGAGTCCTCTTTATTTATTTATTTATTTTTAAAATATATTTTATTGATTTTTTACAGAGAGGAAGGGAGAGAGAGAGTTAGAAACATCGATCAGCTGCCTCCTGCACATCTCCTACTGGGGATATGCCCGCAACCCAGGTACATGCCCTTGACCGGAATCGAACCTGGGACCTTTCAGTCCGCAGGCCGACGCTCTATCCACTGAGCCAAACCGGTTTCGGCTAAAGAGTCCTCTTTAAACGTATCTTCTAAACTCACTGCCCTTCTAGCAGCCTCCTTTTACACTGCTTAATATTTGAACCAAATCCTTCTTAATTTTCCCTTACCACTCTGCTTCCTCTACTTTGGTAAGAGAGTTTGCCTATTTCGATCATGCTACTTGATCTTGTATAAATGATTAGCAGATTATAATATGGCTTCCTACAACTGGATTCTGGACATCACTATAGACATCCCTTAGGATTGAAAAGATATTTCTCTTTTTCATGAATCAGAAATACCCAGACCAAAAGAATGTTAGTGAGATATAAATTTAGAAATCTTTCTTTGTAGGGTTCTTAAAGGCAATTATACAAATTACTAAGTTCCCAAAGGCATAATTTTATGTTTCCCACATGTATCCATGATGGAATGGTTACATATAAAAAAAGTAAATTCTGGCCCTAGCTGGTTTGGCTCGGTGGATAGAGCGTCGGCCTGAGGACTAAAGGGTCCCGGGTTCGATTCCGGTCAAGGGCACATACCCAGGTTGCGGGCTCAATCCCTAGTTGGGGGCGTGCAGGAGGCAGCCAATCAATGAGTCTCTCTCATCATTGATGTTTTTACTCTCTCTTCCTCTCTGAAATCAATAAAAAAATATATTTAAAAAAACCCCACAAACTCCTGTAGAAAAAAAAGAAAGAAATTACACTCAAATTCTCAGAAAAATATACTTATATGTGTCCGATCACAATGGAAAAGAAAGAAACTAAGTGTCCTTTGATTACTTAAGGATGGGAAGTGAGTCTGAGGTCTAGCTTGGGAGTCTGGAATTTATGGCTATGTTTGCTTTGTGCTATGCATTAATCTTTATAAAACAGGACTGCACCTACCTCGAACTTTGTCATTTCCTCCCCTAAATACAAGGTAAAGTGACGCCACTTGCCTCTTCTAGAGCAAACCTTATAAAACCAAACTATAAAACCAATTGTCCAGGGAGAGAACCAACTTCACCAGGTTAGACTCCTTTTAGCCTCTCTGATATTTACCTTTTTACTGAGGCATAAACAATAAGATATAATGAAAATGTCAATCATATAAAGAAAAAAAGTTCAGGTCCTATTCCAGTCTTTGGAATTCTTTCCTGAGGTAGCTGCAAAAGGTTGGAAGCACTTCAGTTGGTTAGTGGTGACCAAAGAAAAACTTGAATCAGTAATCAGAGATGGAAAAAAAACCCCTAGTATGAGGTATTTAGCCCATCTACCTTAAGGTGACAGAATTATTTCCTATAATCCTTCTGAGGCTTAAAATAATCTATGATAGGCTTTAAAAATAACACTTACTACAAATTGTGAGTTAGATTTCTAATACACATACACATGCCTTGCAACCAAGACATAGTTCCAGACACTGACTTAAATTGTTATTCCCAGCTTTTCATTTTTTGTTGTTCATTTTAATGGCTACATATGAGAAAATACCTAAAAGAGCTCCCTCCAGTTCAGAAGGCTCAAATCTGGATCCCTTAAAAATAAACTCATTTTGCCCAGCTAGCATGGTTCAGTGGTTGAGTGTCGACCTATGAATCACAGTTCAATTCCTGGTCAGGGCGCATGCACAGATTGTGGGCTCAGTCCCCAGTTGAAAGCATGCAGGAGGCAGCAGATCAATGATTCTCTCTTATCATTGATGTTTCTCTTTCTCTCCCTTCCCTTCCTCTCTGAAATCAATAAAAATATCCAAAAAATAAGAACATATGTAAAAAAACACAAACTCATTTCTTTGAGACCAACACACGAGGCATGGGAAAGGCTTTCAAGATTACTAATACCGAGATCTCTCTCTCTCTTTTTTAAAAAATATATTTTTATTGATTCAGAGAGGAAGGGAAATGGAAAGATAGAAACATCAATGATGAGAGAGACTCATTGATTGGCTGCCTTCTGCATACCCCCTCCCCCTCACTGGGGATCTAGCTGCAACCAGGTATATGCCCTTGACTGGAATCGAACCTGAGACCCTCCAGTCCGCTGGCTGACGCTTTATCCACTGAGCCAAACCAGCTATGGCTGGGAGATCTCTTGGAAAAAAAGATAAAGATATACAACATGAAGAAACTTGATATAATAGGTTGCATTATATTTAAAATGATATTTTTTTAAAAGTTGCCCTATATATTTATGTCTTCCCACTAGATAAATTTGAAACTAAATATGCTAAACCTACTTAATATAACCCAACATAAAATAATTTCTTTCTTCTGCTTGGGGTAAGACTGTTAGACATTATTACTGGCCACTTTTGTTCTGAAATAGGCCTGTTTATCTGAGGGTAACTTAAGTTTAAAGTAATATTTCAACAGGCACCTCTTTTTTTCTTAATATAAACACTTTCCCAGGCTCTTCTTTATTTTTATGATCAGCCTGCAATTTTTGTTTTTAAGAGTAAATTTAAGTCCTGATGATACAAATATTAGTATTTTCACAACAGGCACCTCTTTTTAGGAACTAAAACACTATGCAGTACAAACTTATACAAAATTTCTTTCTCAGAATCCAGAAATTGACAGCTCTAGTCAGATCAGTAGCGGTCGTACAACACAACCAACTTTTACCTTTACGTCAGCAATCAGAGCATCTTCATCTTCTATCCCTGTAGGGACACATTTCTTGTGTAGTGGCAGAGACTCCAACTTGTCTACAAGGCAGCGAAGGCCTTCGAGCTCAAAATGGGTCAGATGCACCTGCCTGTCCTTTCGGGGACTACACTGGGGGTCCCACACTTGGCCATTGTGGGAGCCCCGGCTAGAGTCAGATGATGAATCTCCAGACAAGCTTTTCTTCAGACTTGGAAGACTTCGGCAGGTTTTGCCCAGTCCATCATAATCCAGGTTGACCCCATTGGCTACAGGGCTAGTGAGGACCGAACGCCTACTACTCAAGCGCCGGGGTTCTCGATCCACTGCTTCTTCATCTCCATTTCCAGATTCCAACCCATTTAACTCCAAATCTGTTGGTATGAAAAAAAAATGCAGTAAGAACAAGCCACTTGGCCATGTGATCAATGAGAGAAATAGGCAGCATCTAGGAGGGGCATTCAAGTTATAAATAATGAAGTTGTAACATGTTTAAAATGGTCTCTCCTTATTCCAACACCCATATATCCACTGTTAAAAATCACAGCTATAGGATTTTCAGAAGATTGAGAAGAGCTCGATTTTGTGTACTAAAAATAAGTTACCTATGAAAATTATTGTAAATTAATTTCAAGTTCAAACTCAAATTTGGGGCTATGATTTAATTATCTTTTTAAAAAGTAGACAGTGTGAAGCACATACTAGTATACTTAAAAAGTAGTTTTGTAAACTAAGAATTGAGTTACTATGAGACCCACGAATCCATCATCTGGGTATCTGCCCCCCCAATTTGTAAACATTTATTCATAAAGACATTTGTAATCCCTATGCTCATTGCTGCATTATTCACCATAGCCAAGACATGGAAACAATCTAAGTGTCCTTAGATGGATGACTGGATAAAGATGTGGTACATACAATGAAATACTACTTAGCCATACAGATGTGGGATATAAAGCTGAAAGCAATAAACAAACAAGCTCAGACATAGACAACAGTATGGTGGTGACCAGAGGAGAGGGGAAGGGGGGAGAGAGGAAGATGAAGAGTGTAAAGGGGGACAAATATATGGTGATGGAAGATGATATGACTTTGGGTAGTGGGCACATAATGTAATATACAAGTCATGTATCATAGAAATGTACAATTGAAACCTATGACCCTATTAACCAATATTATCCCAATATATTTAATAATTTTTTTTTAAAAAGTAAGATACATACCAGAAAATTGATTCCTTTCTTGAGGAATGAAGTAATAACAAACTCAGACAGAGATCCAGAATATTTCATTTAGCCTAGTAATTCACATCTGGGTAGGAGATCAGCTGTTAACCAGCATTCAACTCCAATGACTAAATTTGGTATTTTCAGGTAGATAAGTAAAAAAACAAAACAAAACAAAACAGAAAAACCCCCACAAAAAACCATTGAGCAACAGCCTGTTGAATATTCTTGGCCACACCCTCAATCCTGTAGGGTGTCTTGAAAGTTTGTATAGGCAGAAAACTTACCCATGCTGAGGGACTCTTTCTGAAATTCCTTGGTTAGGTGGGAGCGGTTGGTTATGCAGTACACATAGCGCTCCAACACATACCAACACATCTCATAGTAGAATGGATAGCGAAACTTATTTGGAACCTACAGAAGCAAAATAATGAGAAAAGAAAATTAATATCAACTTTAAAAGCGAGTTAGATAACTGTATCACTGCAATAATTAATCTAGAAAAAACTCTCTAGTCAACCTGAAAACCCAGGCTGGCATTTTCTATCTGACAACCTAGAAAATGTTGATCTTGGGAAACAATCACTAAAGATAAATGGTACTTGGAAAGACCATTCAGAACAACCAAAAAAACTGTCATTATTTATAACTTCTGAGTAGGAAAGCATCAAAAAGAAGTTCTGAGACAGAGAGTTACCATGTAAGACACAATATAGTTAACTGAGAAAATTGTTTTAGGGTTCTTAGAATACAAAGGCATGTCAAGCATCTGGCCTTTATTATAGTTCTACCCTGAGTAAGAAGGCCATGGAATAAAGAATCTAATGGAAAAACAGAACATGAAATTAAGTTATATGTTTTTATTATGTCCTTACATCTATGAAAGTATAATTAGAGACTCATTCTCTAGCTATATCCAGTCCATGATACAAGACTGACTATTTTCCCTGCTATCAACTCGGAGCTTGCCTGTCTTGCACTTTGTAGTTTGACAAGATGTTATGTCCACAAATCAAGATTACTGTTCCACATGGCCTAATCAGTCACTATCTTTGTTTTCTTTCCATTTTCCCCAAAAGTGGCATGAAATTATTCCAGCTAAATAATAATAAAAAGAACAGTCCTTTAGATCTACCAAAGCCAAGGAAAAGGCAAATCAGTATGTATTATTCAGTGAAGAAGACCAGTGATGGGGACTATCCTAAATATAGTTTGTTGTTTTCATTTAGAGAGGCCACCTTTCAGAAGAATAAGCAAAACAACATGTTAAAGACTGTTCTAAATATGCAACTCCTGAGAATAAGTTCCCATCTCCTTTTCAAAGCTGCATGTCAGGTAGTCTTCCCAAGTTGAGATGATCTGGATGGGAGTCCCTTTTCAAAACCCTTCACCAAGAAAGCGTACAGCTCAGTGGTAGAACATGTGACTCTAAAATCCTTCACCAGGTCACAGGGCCCTTTCCTCATCCAAGGCAGGAGAGGCATGTACTTCTCATTAGTTTTCCAACACAGAGAAGCCAGGCTCTGGGTCTGGGTCTCTTAGGTGGCTACAACAAGAAGAGGCTTCTCCTCTCTTATTTAAAAGTCAAATTTACTTCTCGGTAGATAGGGGGATGGACCACAAAAATATATGAGCTCCCCAAATTAAAGTCATTTTGGACTCTTCAGAACTGAGTAATATTGATAAGAGAAAAAAAAGAAAATACATAATAGGACATTGGCTCGGCTATTTTTTACTTGAACTCATCAGATTATGTTAGTAATAGTCAAGATATCACATACCCATCCTGCCCCATTACATTTTACCTATACTGCCAGACACCAGAGAGCATATCAATTACTGAGACTGGGTTCAAATTTTTTGCTCCTGATTACAAAATTATTGATCCTTTAAGCACTATCAGGAGAATAATTACTAACACTTAAGTTTATATAGTATATTTCTACACTGGCATGGCAAAAGTAACCAAAGCAATGCCTTAAATTTATATTTCTTTCATAAAACATCTTTTTATATTCTTCTTTAAACTTGGTAAGTTATAGAGATCAATAATATATTAGACATATACCAGGTTGGTATTTAGCACATAAAAGGTTGATGTAGAAAGCAATTAAAAACAAAACAAAACACTACTTCATTTTATAGAAACACAGAAGGGTTCCTTATTTGGAATAAAATAACTAAGCCATACTTAAGAAAAATGGAATAATATGTAATAATATTAACTACTTGAGGCCCAGTGCACAAAATTCGTGCAAGGGGCTCGGCCCTCGCAGTCCCTGCTGCCTTGGCCCTCAGGCCCTCGCAGCCCAGCTTCGTCCGGATGGTGATTCTGCTGTTTGGTCTAATTAGCATATTAGCTCTTTATTATATAGGATGTTTGATCTAATTAGCATATTAGCTCTTTATTATATAGGATTATTACAACTTCAAACTTATTAAACTCCTTGCTATCTTTTGTAGTTTCATTATGCTTAACAAACAAGCAGAAGTTCACCTTTAGAAAATTCATTTAAAAAGCACTGCATTCTCTCTTAATTCTACTAATAGGGCAATCCCTGTAACTCCAACAGTACCAATCTTATATATATATAAGATAATAAGTAGTTCCTAACCAAAATAAATGTTTCAAAATAGACACCAAAATAGTTAACTGACCATGTTCACCGTAAACAGGCCAATACCTATTCCTTCTAAAAGGTGTAAATTCTTTACTAACTGCTACTTTTTTAAAAAAATATTTTATTGATTTTTTTACAGAGAGGAAGGGGGAGTTTTTTATAGAGAGTTAGAAACATTGATGAGAGAGAAATATCGATCAGCTTCCTCCTGCACATCCCCTACTGGGTATATGCCCACAACCAAGGTACACGCCCTTGACTGGAATCGAACCTGGGACCCTTGAGTCTGCAGGCTGATGCTCTATCTACTGAGCCAAACCAGTTAGGGCCTAACTGCTACTTTTTAATTTAAAAACTTTCAAGTCCACCAAAAAGTTTCAAGTGCAGTACCATGAAGACTTCTCTAACTTCTCCAAGATTCACCAATTGTTAACATTTCTCCATATTTGCTAATCTCTATTCATATATGCTGTTATTTGCTGAACTACTTCAGAGCAAGTTATGAACATCACGTGCCCTAAATATTTTGTATTCTAACTGCTGTTTAATGTCAATACCATCTATACTTCAATCATATACAGATATAATTCAGCCCTGACAAACTAGGGTCTGCCCTATTTAACCCTAAGGCATGGGTCAGCCAGCAAATAGCAGCTGATGGATTTGGTCAACTATCCTATAATAATAATAAAAGGGTAATATGCAAATTGACCCTAACAGCAGAACGACTGGGAATGACTGGTCACTATGACACACACTGACCACTAGGGGGCAGACGCTCAATGCAGGAGCTGCCCCCTGGTGGTCAATGCTCTCCCACAGGGGGAGCTCTGCTCAGCCACAAGCCAGGCTGACGACTACCAGTACAGAGGTGGTGATGGGAGCCTCTCCCGCCTCCTCAGCAGCACTAAGGATGTCTGACTGCAGCTTAGGCCTGCTCCCCACTGGCAAGTGGACATCTCCCGAGGGCTCCCGGGCTGCCAGGGGGACGTCTGACTGCCAGCTTAGGCCCAATCCCCCCAGGGAGCAGGCCTAAGCCAGCAGATGGTCATCCCCTGAGGGGTCCCAGACTGCGAGAGGGCATAGGCCGGGCTGAGGAACCCCTTTCCCCCCGAGTGCACAAATTTTTGTGCACTGAGCCTCTAGTCTGTTTTATAAGGTCTGTGAGCTAAGAGTGGTTTTCACATTTTTAAATGGTTGAAAAAAATACCCTAAAAGAGCATTTGTGACAGGAAAAATATATGAAATTCAAATTTGTGTCCATAAATAAAATTTTATTTTATTTAAGCCATGCTCAATCTTTTAAATATTTCATTCTACAAGGCAGAGTTAGAAAATAGACAGACATTGTACGGCCCACAAAGCCTAAAATTTCTACTATCTGGTCCTTTACAGAAAAGGTTTGCTAAATCCTGCCTTAAAGTACCTACTGCATGTATATGAACTAACTTTTTTCCTATACGTCTAGAATGAAATCAGCTCTGTACCATCCTAGGGAAAACAGAAACAAGACACACAAATCATTTTCTATAATACTTTAGATTTCTCTCCGTTGAGAAAGGCAGTATACACATTTCTATATTAAACTACAATAGTTTGAGTGTTAGTAAAGAAAGATACATGAACTTAAAGTTGTGGATCTTGAGTTGATAAGTCCCATTACAACAAATTATTCTAAGAGCATAAAAATGAAAAACATGGCTCAAGACACTATCAAATGTCTACCTCTAGCCCCACATAAATCCGAGATATCAAGAACCTCTATGAATTGGAGTCCCCCAAAACAAGCACGTAGATCTTGTTAAAACTTTTATTTCAGTGTTCCCAAAATGTGAACACTGCATTTTAATCCAAAGAAAAATTAAAGTTTTGAGATAAACTATCAATGAATCTCTTATAACATTTATCTAACTAGAGTAATCCTGTTCACATCAACTGTTACACAGAATTACTTACCCGTGTCCGATCTTCAATGTTGTATATTTTTAACTGCATGGGGATATTGAAACTGTGCAAGAAATTGCCTCCAAACACTAACGTGTCTGTAGGAGTATACACAGCATGAATCCAGCCTAGAAGAAAGGGAGTGAAGGGTAGTAGCTGTAAGTACACATTCTGAAATGGTTCTTTCAGAGAACTAGTACAAGATTCCTACACCACACATTTTTTTTTTCTGCCTCTTAGTGGTTGTTCAGATTCTTTAATCTCTTGCAGTTTCACTATCCTCTATAAAACACAAATTATACTTTACATGCTTGTTGGTAAGCATTAAATGAGAAAATGAACGTAAAGTGTTTTCTTAAAGCCTTGTCGAAACAAGGCCACCGAAAATTTTGGTTCCCTCCCCCGCAAAAAAATTGGGAGAGAGAGAGAGATGTAACAAACTTTTACTAAATGCTGCTTCTATTTATTGGCGTACCTACTATGATTAGGCTCAGTATAAGAGTTTACATGTATTTTCATTTACTCCTCACAACAAAATAAAACAGAGATTTAAATACTTGACAAAAGTGGTTTAGCAGGTAAATGCATAGTCAGAATTCTAATACATGTCTGTGACCCTAAAAGCTGTGCTCTGAGTACTTATTTTGAAACGAATGACCTGATAAAAAATATTACTAATTCAGCACTTTCTCTAGCTTTCACAGTCATCCTCTAGAGGAGTAGGTAGTTCTTAACCAGAGGTTTGTATATCACCTGCAGAACTGGTTTTATCTAGAGATTCTGAATTTCTAGGGCTAATGTGGGGCCCAAACATATAGATCTGAAAAGCATCCATTGGCAATTCTGATACATACATTTAGTGGAAAATCACTGCCTTAAAAGAAAAAAATCTCAGCATCCACTGCATAATGACAGGAAAGGACACTGCTGTTTTCTGCCTACCCCAGCATCATAATCATTCTTGGTAGTAATCCATCAATTCCTCCTTTTGACTTAAGAAAAAAAGTGGCTAGAGTAGATAATCCATTTTTCCTATCCTGCTTACCTGAGGGAATGACGAAGGTATAGCCCTGCTTGAGCTCAATGCGCTGGCAATCTGACACCCGGTCACCCAGAAAGATGTCTCCCTGTTTCCCTGACAGCAGCCAATTCTCGTACAGCTCCAGGTTGTGGGCTGTAGGGGGGATGAGCCAGAAGACCTGTGAGTTAAAAAACTTCAGTCTGTTAACCGCCATTGACATGACCCAGTCACCCCCCTCAACTGATAAATAGGTACAAAGTTAAAACCAACATGTAGAAGAAAGGCAAGCAATTCTCCCAGCTAACAGAACTTGATCACTGGGAAATTCTAAGGGCCCCCAAAAGTACATATTGTTTCATCCTCCACTTGATGAAACAGCATTAGAGTTTCCCTGAGATTTGAATGTAGAACAAAGAACCTATCTAAGACTCAGAAAGAACTGGGGCATTGGGCTTATTACCTAGGCAGTCCCTTATTCGCCCCTGGCTGTCTGGCCTCTACAGTTCTATTGTTAGGTACAAAATCTTTAAGAGACTGTCTGGGTTGCTTTGTTCCAAGGTAGCGACTAAGACCAAAAGAATAAAACTTAAGGTACCACTTAAATGGATCCAAAGTAAATAAAATGATTTTGGATTTAGAGGTACAATTGTTCTAGATTAGGACCTCACATTTTAAAAGGTTTAAAACTTTATCTGTTTTTATTCCAGTTTTACTTTTCTCTCACAAATGCATTAAATTCTAAGAGGGAAAAGGGTAACAATAAGAGTATAATACTATTAACCCCTAATATTAGTTCTAGATTTCCATTCTCACACCATTTCAGAAACTCCAACAAGCTGAAATATAATTTTTTATAAAGGTGAATAATCTTTCAAAATCTATTTATAACTTCAGAAACGTCTTAAAGGTATCCTTTGGCCCCATTTTACACCAATGCCTTCATATAGGGAAAGGTACTTTAGATCTCAAATTGCTGATTTCATTGTGAATCTATCCAAAGTTTGTGTGTCCTTTTACTATCTTATTATGCTCCCACATAGAGAAATTATCTTGTCCTCCTAAAACCACTTCCTTGCCTTCATTTGGAGAATTCTGCTTTGGGGATCTACAAACAGGACTGTTGAGGTTTACTAAACACTATGCAAATATTGGCATGATCATAGTGGTCTAGATGAATACTAATTCCTATTGAATTCTAGCCAAGAAGGTCAACTAAATCTATAATTCTCTCTAGATATGAGCAGGACAATCTCCTAATAGATTCATCTCCACGTATATTAAGCAAGCATGAACTAAAGCAAAGTCATATAACCAGTGTCAGATTCCAACCCCCATCACAACTATAACCGTACCTTTCCCCCTTGATGGATGTGATACCAGACAGAGGTACCACCAAAGTCGACATGGAAGTCAGTATAGCAGCCTCGAACACTCATTAGACAGTACCTGACCCCAAAAAAAGCAGCAGTGTTAGTGCACTGATGAGAAAAAGAGGACCCGCCCCACCACAATGCCATACTCTGCCCAGTACACTCCCTCTCTCTTCCATCTAATCCACTCCCAGTCAGTGAGAGGAATGCAATTGCAAGTCATCTCATTACCAGTATAAATTTTTTTCTTTAACCATGTGATCATGGGTTGTAATACTCTTACATACACGCTTCCCTTTGGGACTGTAAAGGCTACTCTAAAGAATTCATGCTTTTGATCATTTAGGATACGGGGCATGGCGCGTAAGGAACCAGTCCTTGCTACTACTTTGGTCTCCCCTAGCACACTGAGGAAAATGCAGGGTAAGCCACTTACTTCTGCACTTTAGGGTACTGCATCTCCAAGATGGCATTTGTTGATTCAGTCTGACTTTCCTTCAAATGCCTTGGCCACATGTTGTCTACCCAGTCAATGAAATCCACCTTTAAAAAGGAAAACATTTAGGCTTCAAAGGTAGGGTCAGGATTAAAGGGAATTTTAAAATCAAGAAAAATAGAATTTTGCCCAGCCGGTGTGGCTCAGTGGCTGAGTGGTGGGTGACCTATGAACCAAGAGGTTGAGGTTTGATTCTCAGTCAGGGCAAATGCCTAGGTTGTGGCTAGATCCCCAGTAGGGAGCATGCAAGAGGCATTTGACTGATGATTCTTTCTCATTATTGGTGTTTCTATCTCTTTTTCCCTCTCCCTCTCTCTGAAATCAACAAAAACATTTTTTTAAAGAAAAATGAATTTCTCAAAACACACATTGAAAGACTGACTATAAGTATAAGTGAACTAAAACAATCTGTTGCTGAATCTTAGTACTGGTGGGCAAACATTCTAGTAATTATTATTTAACGAGAATAAAGACTAATGGTTCTATTAACATGATCATAAAGACAGCACTAATCAAAGTGAAGTTATTAAGTAACAGTAGTGTCCAGCCAAGCCTTCTCTTCTGTGTTGGTTCTGGTATAATCAACTCTATTTTTTTTTATACAATAAGAGGCACTACCTGGAAGGTACCTATAAACGAACAGAAAGCTATAACACTATTAGAGCAACTAAGATATTAAAAGTTAAAAAAGAAAGAAAGACAAAGAAAAAAAAACCAGTAGGGATTTGAGCTTTGCATGAATCTACATGGTGAGAAATCAGAAGTTCCAGGTCATGTTTTCTCAAAATCTTATGTAACTAGTGTGGCTCAATGGTTGAGTGTCGACCTATGAACCAGGAAGTCACAGTTTGATTCTAGGTCAGGGCACATATCTGAGTTGTGGACTCTTCCCAGTAGGGGGTGTGCAGGAGGCAGCCTATTTACTATCTCTCTCTCCCTTCCTCTCTGAAATATATACTTTACAGTCATAATTAGGACCTTTTTCTCAACAAGAGATACTACTATGGACACACACACACACACACACACACACACACACACACTAGAGGCCCAGTGCATGAATTCATGCATGGGTGGGGTCCCTCGGGGTGGCCTGTAGAGATCGGGCCCCAGTTCGTGCCCCTAGCCTCGCAGCCCTGCCTGGCACCCCACCTTGGCCTGGCGTTGCCCCCTCATCTGCTCCAACATTCCGCCTGCAGGCTGCTGCCCTGCTCCCTCAGTACCTGGAAGCTGGACGGCAGCCCCGCCCCCTGCCACTGGTCGCTATCTGCAGGGCAATCAGAGGGCGATTGGGTCCCCACTCGCATCCACCTTGGCCTGGCACCACCTGCTCCACAATCCCACAGCAGTCCCCCTCTCCTCCGGGCCCATTGGGGCCAGCAGCAGCGCCGCCAACACCCACCATATTCCACGCAGCCCCCGGTGGTCAGTGCATTTCATAGCAAGCAATCAAACTCCCAGTCTCCAGTCAAATGACCACCCAAGGACACAATTTGCATGTTAGGCTTTTATTATATAGGACTTTTATTATATAGTATATGTTTATTGATTTCAGAGAAGAAGGGAGAGGAAGAGCTAAACAGAAACATCAATGATGAGAGAATCACTGATCGACTGCCTCCTGCACACCCCCCACTAGGGATCGCCTGCAACCCGGGCATATGCCTTTGACCGGAATTGAACCCAGGACACTTCAGTCCACAGGCCGACGCTCTATCCCAGGGGTGGGCAAACTTTTTGACTCGAGGGCTACAATGGGTTCTTAAACTGGACCGGAGGGCCGGAACAAAAGCATGGATGGAGTGTTTGTGTGAACTAATATAAATTCAAAGTAAACATCATTACATAAAAGGGTACGGTCTTTTTTTTTTTAGTTTTATTCATTTCAAATGGGCCGTGGGCCATAGTTTGCCCACGGCTGCTCTGTCCAGTAAGCCAAACCAGTAAGGGCAGAAATCAATAAAAAACGTTTTTAAAAATCATATGCAAGCCCCTGGAACTCATCTGTAAAATGAGAATAATTACCTGAAAGAGATATTATAAAGAGTAGATATATCTACATGTTAAAATTTTTTGAAATAATATTATCAGAATTTAGGAATCTGTTCGAAATAATATGTGCTGAAAGAAATGAGAAGTGAAAATATATGAACTTATTGAACACTTTACACTGAATTGTAACATATCCTGGACCTTCAAATGTCTATACCCAAGCACTGAATTCTAAGAAACAGTCTCAGTAGATAAAGTGTGAGCCAAACAACCATGAATCCAGTGTAGCACTGACATTGTAAATATCTAACTTACGACTGTAAAAAATATGTAGCTAGTAAGCTTTATAACAACATCTGTTTGATTAAAAAATACACATCTAGACAGATACATACAGTCTGTGCATAATGAGATGAGACAGGTGTCCAGTGGACACCCAGATGTAAACTGCGGGAGAGTGTATGGAAATGACATGCAAGTTGAAACAAGCAAGATTAGGAGCAACTATGAAGGTTAACTTGTTGCTCCATTTCATTCAAAGAAGTTCTGCTTAGGGAGCCACCAGTTTTAATTAACCAAGCATTCATAGGCCTAGAACACTGAATGAAACCCAGATTCCTTTCTTTCTCTCAATCAAAATCTACTTTCTGTTCACTTAATGCAGTAGTCAGCATCTCCCATCTTCTGGTAATATCCTTTAGAAAGTCTTTATCAAAATAATGAATAATTGTACTTGCTCAATACACTGTAAGTTCTTATGTCCGATGGGGGAGAGGGAAATAAGAAACACACGAGTATTCCTTTATCTGGTGTCCATTCAGAGAAAGCTGAACTACTCTGGCCAGAATTTCTCACCTGCAACAACAAGTCACTCATCTTGGCCTCCCTTTATTTGTTATTATCATGTTGTCTGACTTCCAGGAGAACACTGTGGTAAGGTGTTCATACTTTTAATCTTTAGGCTCTGGATAGGCTTTTTGTTGAATGGCTTCATCCATTTGAGAGCAAGTAGGGATAACAACCAGGTTCTACCTATTCTGCACCAATATAGGCCCAACTGGTAAGAAGAAGTCTAATACCTAGGACCTAATGTATTCATTCATACACTGCAAAAACAGCTCATGGCCTTCCATAAACTAATTTCCTCATCACCAAACAAATCTGCACATTGTATCTGTTGGTAATTTTTATCTATCTCCCAGTTACTGCTGGAATGACAGCAGTAAACAATCTCTCGTCTCACCAAAGAATCCCACTTTATGCTAGCATCCACAATGGCACTTAAAAGTTGCCCACCTTACTCTCCCTGCGCACCTGCTTTTATACATTCTGTTCCTTCTGCCTGGAATTCTAGTCTTCCTTTGATTTTCTTAGAGAGAGTGGAAGGGAAAGAATTTTTACTGATTTCAGAGAGAGAAAGAGGGAAACGGAGGGAGAGAGAAGGAGAGAGAGAAATAGTGATGTGAGACACACACACACCGACTAGTTGCCTCCCACATGTACCCTGACCAGGGCTGGAAGTGAATCTTGGCTGGGAATCTAACCTGCAACCTGTTTGTTCGTGGGCCTGATGATCTAACCACTGAGAAACACAGGCCAGGGCTAGTCTTCCCTCTCTTTGCATCATTATTTCCTTCACGTTAAGTTTAGGTATCACGTCCTTTAAAGAGCTTCCCCAGTTTGCCTCCAGTTTAGTCCTTCCTATTGGCTTTCCACAACATTCTCATTCTGTATTTATTCTCTTTTGAAGCATTTCCATATTGAAGTTTATATAAATGCCTATCCTCTGGTCTTTCTCCCCATGAGATTCTGAGCATTTTGAGGATAAGGATGGCCTTATTGTCTACAGTACCTCTGGCACCTAGCACAGTGCTTAGCATGTGGTAGGCACTTGAACTAATAAGCTAAATTGGAAAATATGAAAGATCATAGTGAACAAGAGATCATATCATTTATGTAAAAAACATGAATGAATACACTTGTCAAAACTCATTGAAACGTACATTTAAAATGGGTACATTTTATTGTATGTCAATTGTACCTCAATAAAGTTGATTTTTAAAAAAAGCATTATTGAGATATATTAGAAAAGACCTAAATAAATGGAGGGGTATACTGTGGGCAAGAAAACCCGCAAAACAGTAAATAAATAAATAGTAATCCAGCAGAGTATGTTACCGCTTATATAGCAAGGTCATAGAAAGCTTGCTTGACTTTAGGATGTGACCTTGGTAATAGCTCACTCAATCTTTCTGGCCAGGTTTTAGGTACCTTAAAGATACTTGTGCATTATCCCTTTGTCCTTAGAAAATTTTCTACTTCTGAGCCCTTCCACAGATTCTATTCCTCCATTTAATGGTACAGTATTTTCTAATTTTTTAAAATGATTTTTTAAAAATATATTTTATTGATTTGTTTACAGAGAGGAAGGGAGAGGGATAGAGAGTTAGAAACATCGATGAGAGAGAAACATCGATCAGCTGCCTCCTGCACACACCCTACCGGTTAGGGCTATAAAATGATTTTTTATCAGCATTTAAAAATCATTAAAACTAGGGACAGTGCCCTGACCAGTTTGGCCCAGTGGATGGAGCGTCAGCAAGGGTCCCAAGTTCGATTCCGGTCAAGGGCATGTACTTGGTTGCGGGCACATCCCCAGTGCGGGGTATGCAGGAGGCAGCTGATTGATGTTTCTCTCTCATTGATGTTTTTAACTGTCTATCCCTCTCCCTTCCTCTCTGTAAAAAATCAATAAAATATATTTAAAAAAACAACAACCAACCAAAAAACTAGGGGCATAATGAATCAATTAAGGATGTTACAAAGAAGGCTTCATGTGTAAGTAACACATTTCTAAATTAAAAAAAAAAAAGAAAAAGTATGATCCAGATCAAGCTTTAATTTTATAAGTACAACCATATTTCTTTTAAATTGAAATTCTAAAAATATTAAGGAACACATTTATAAAAATAGGTTATTGTAATTATTACATTCCTCACTTAATTGAACTCTTTATTTATTAAGTAGACCAGGTTTGGCTAATAACAAAGTTAAATGTACCTATATTTCCTGTCTTCCTGTATTTCCATATGACCAAACAAACAAAAATTACTATTAAAAAAACTTTTGTCATTCTACAGGGGGAAATGTTTTCTTAATGAGAAATTCTGTATTTAATTATAGCATCTCAAGTTATAAGAAGCAATGACAAAAAATTATCTATTCAGATAATAGTGACATACTGTGGACATTTTCCCACTGGTCTATACATATCTATGTATTAATATAATAACAATGTAACTTAGTAGTAAGCTATATATATATACATACACATAATGATGTAAAAGCAATTACAATATCTTAGCTTTGAAAGTCAAAGGGATAAAACACGGAGATCTTGACTTTAAACAATTAGTATATTCCAAGTTCCAGGTGTAATACTTGACAAAAATGAGTTCTGAGTCAGGAATTAAATGAATAAAATTTGTCTGTAAATGACTAGGTGTATTTCAAAAGTGAAAGCAATCCCCATCAGAAAAATAAGTTTTCTCAATGTCCTGTAGACAGTCACTACTTAGCCAAGCAATGGGTAAAATCAGCACCTATCTTCAGGAGAGCTTGGATCAAAGACTAACTTTCCCTAAGTACGGGGTGTCAATTTATTGCTACTAGTTATCCAGTAGAAGCTACTCCAAAGTAATTTCATAAAACAATCACCTAGCTCTAAACCAATTTTCTCCCAAGCTTCTCAGCAAACATAAACCTATAGGACAGAAATTTATAAGGCAAACTTCCTATTGACAGTACTTACAAGAGTGAATTTTAAGATTATTCTTTATTATGTACAAAGGCCAACGTTCCTAAATTAAGTATATTGGTGATGTAAATCAGAATGGTCCCTCCCTATATAAAATTAAATTATTTTAGAAAATGATGGACCATTTAAAAATGCAAATTATCCTTATCAAATTGTCTTGTTCCTCTTTATCTTCATCTTGGTATGTACAGAAAGTAATAAATTCTCCTAGTAAATATACAACTCTTTTGGTGACAATGACAATGTGGAAAAAATCATTAGACTAACCGTGGAGGGCCTCTGCACCATGTTCTCCAGCCTGGTGTGGCTAAACTCTAGGCTGATGACATTATAGAGTTTTTCTCGTTCCTCCTCTGGGGTCTCATAGTAGCGTGTCCACTGAGCCATCGTCATTTCAATACCTTTCTGTGTGTTCACATCCATGACATCCACCATGCGACGACTCCCTGCCATGAAAGATGCATTGATTATCTCTACTGAGCCATTGATATCCATAAATACATTAAGACTGTAAAATACAAGTGAAAGTAAACAAACTAACCCTTTCTTATTTAAGGTTTTCAATAACAAGGAGCTAGTTGTGACTTGAGATAATCAACAGAAAATCAAATCACAGAAAATGGGAAAGACAATGGGTAATATTAAAAATAACAATCACTCCCTTATGTCATGTTTATTTATATGGTTAGGCACTGAATCTTATATTCAATATCTCACTCAATCCTAAATGCTAAGTAGTAATCTCCATGTCACAGATGAGAAAACAGGTGATAGGTAACTTGCAGGACAAAGCAGGACAAGAATGCAGGTAGGCCAATTTTAGAGTCAATGTACTTATCCACTGAGCTACGCTGCTTTGATGCAGATTTGAAATAGAATCTAATCTCTCCCACAAATTGAGTAAAAGACCGATTCTTTAGTGAGTACTAGATTAAATTTCAATCTGTCTACTCTTTTGTTTAAAAGGGTTATTTCCCAAACCTGTCAAGTATTTCTAATATAAATTTCCCTTTTCATACGTTCCACAAATATTTACTGAGAAAGATACCTACCATAAGGGACATAAATATCTATTTACATCAGACTCCCAACTAATCATAACAACCACAACAAAAGGCAGAATGCTAGAAGAGGTAGCATAAAATACTAGGGGAAGAAAATAATAGTTTTGGAGCCAAAGAGATCTAATGTACATCTCATCTCTAATACTAGTTGGCCAAGTTATTTAACTGCTCTGAACCTTAATATCATCTTCTATAACTTGTGAATAATCCCTATGGGCGGCTGTGAAAAGTTAGTCAGTAAAGTAAAATGTTTAACACAATTAAACAGTAATTAAAAATAAAGGAAAATATATAACCTATACTGATCAGAGAAGAAAAAAAGAGGGTAGGAGAATCGTTGAGTTTGGCTCTAAAGAATAAACAGAATTTCATCAAGAAAGATTCCACAGACAGAATTCCAAATAGAGGCAACAGCATAAGAGAAGATATGGAAAGGCAGCACAGCTAAAAAGTTAAAAAAATGGTGGTTAAGGAAGGGAGAGAATGAAAAGCTACTGCTGGAATATTAAGAATACTGTTCAACCTGCATGAAACTAACAAATACCTACTACATACCTGGCCTTGGCAGATATAAAGTAGTATTAGGACCTCATCCCTTGCCTTCAAGGAGTTTACAGTCTGGTTAGAGATAAAAGATAATAGGCAAGAGGACAAGAATATGGCCACAATGAAGTAGACATGACAGAATACATAATCAAATATACCATAAGTAAGGCAACGGACCAAACTACCCTTCATGTTTTAGAAGAAAAAGCAAATGTTAAATCATATTTCAAATGACTTGAAATACTACTTCAGACCCACTAGAATGGCCATATAATTATAATAATAATAATGAAAAATAAGTGCTGGCCAGGATGCAGAGAAACTGGAACCCTTAGACTTTGGTGGTAGGAATGTAAAATGATGCAACTGCTATGAAAAAACAATTTGTGGTTCCTTAATAAATTAAACACAGAATGGCTATATAACCTAGCAATTCCACTGTGAATATATATTCAAAAGACTCAAACTCAGGTTTTCTAACAAAAACTTCTACATGAATGTTCATAGGATCTCTGGTC